TGAGCCTTGACCGTAAAGGCGCATTCCATGTTCATTCGGTGTGCCAGTGAATACCTTGCACAAGGTAGTCCTGTTCACAAGCAGAGAAGTATACTACTTTCAGGGCTCGAAATATGTGACAATCATGCCACCTGCTCATGAAGAGGGCAACGTCCCACCTAGTTTAATTGGTGGCAGATTACAGTTGCATTTTTGGTAATGGTGAGAAGATTTAGCAATGCGTATGAGAGCAATCATGTACCGATGAAGAATAAAACTACCATGTTTCAAAAACCAAGACGCGGAAAACATTTTTCGTTATAAAACCCAAGAACTTCAACAAGAGGCTTTTGCTGAATAACAAGCTGAGAACCTACCTTAAACGTGCGGTCTCGACTGATTTCCAAGATAGATCCACCGGAATGAATCACCTGACGAACACCATTTGACACCTGAAAATAAGCATAGAACTTACCAAATAGCTTTGAGAAACGTCTTTCAAACTTGACCTGAAATCGTGAGCACACGTTAAGGGTGAGCGGATCAAGGATGGATATCATACCGAGATGGGTACCACATAAGAGGTGATTATTCCGGAAGCAAACTGAGCGTACATAGTCCACAGACCACTGAAACGTCCAAATACATAAATCTCACTATCACAAGAATGCTGAGTTATGGGCAAAAGTCGTGCCCCAGGCGGGAGTCGAACCCAAGTTAAACGTGTGAGTGCTGTAAGGCTACGGCATAAAAGCCGTTAAGCTGAGAGGGTAAAAGCGGCCCTGGTGGCGTAACGGATAGCGCACTCGCCCGGAAAGCGTGAGGTGCGGGTTCGACTCCCGCCTGGGGCATCTTTTGCCAACAACTCAGCATTCTTGTGATACATTCGGAACGCTAGTTGCGGGCGTTGAAGAGCATATCATAACAAACAGCTTAATTAAATTCTCACTGTTTACTAGAATTGAATAAAATCACGAACCAATCCAGAAACAGGTTTACTGGAGTTTCGAATATCCACCATAACTATTCGGCGATCTTCACCACACGAATAAACAATATTGTCCTTAAACAGCCGTATTCTAGTTATGCACAAGTTTAGGAAAAGAAAGCTACAAACGCATGGCTAGTGTGAGCACAGCACCTTTATGATGAGCATAGTTCAAGACTGGAGCAAGCCCGTTTTTTGTGTCAATTATGAACACCTGCAAAATACTAACCCGCATCGAAAAGGAACTTTGTAAAGAAAACATCAAGAGCTCTCATTGGTTAGCCATATTCTATAACTACAAAAGAAGTAGTTAAATGTAAAAAGAAAATGGAAATGTACTGGAAAGAAGGGACATTGACGCAGATTCCATGCCATTAAAGGTCGAAGAAAAGGAAAGCTTCTACAGCAGATGCAAAGCTTAGATTGATCCAACTAATGTAAGTTAATGGTCAAAAAAGTTTGTAAGGTATTTCTGTTGTTCTAAAGTGAACAGGACGGGCAGAAAGCAAGAACAGAAATTTAACTACATAATTCGAGGATATAAAATGCTTGTCTAATGTCTTTGACTGTCTAAAGGTCTTTGACTACGAACATACCTTTTTGCCAAAAGTTGAACATGCAGCGAGTCCATTTGTCGAATTACCAAGGCACATACCGGCGGATCCAAGTTTGGTACTCTCAATGGGCTGAAGAACACAAATACGTAAAATATTTAATTTTCTACGACAAACAAAATACAGCACTTGAGGCAAACACGACCCATCAGGGAAACTCAGGTACGCCGTACCTAACATACCAGGACGTGGTCAGAGCGCCCACTGGATCATCGCGGAATTCAGCACACGGTTGGAATTGAGCGCTACGAACTGGTCACACATACTTCAATCCACTTTTGAAATGGGCCATCCGCCCACAAGTTTATCGCATTTTGAAGACAAACTGTATGCTCACCTCCAAGAACGTCCCTTACCAAGGCGACTGGATCCGCATCTGCAGTAGGGTGCCATTCTCTCCGGTCAAAACTTCACGGAAACGGAGGTGTAGCGGTAAATGGTCGTACCACGGTGGTGTATCCATACTCTCTCTACCCACGCTATCCTCCTGGGGGCAGCATTTGCACGTCTGGGAGCGAAAACACACTCAGCGGCAGAAGGAGAAATGAGGGGTGCAGACAGGCTAGCGGCTTGGCTATAAACTAGATGCATTTATTCGATACTACGGCACTATTCAAAACTATTTTACTATCCAGTTTTCTGCGGAAACAGAGTCGGATCTTGGTCGACTTTTTCTACGGGGGCAGATATTGGCTGAAATCTGAAGAGTTTTAGATAATCCGAGCTCCTGAACACGGATATACATCCGCCGCTCCCGGAAAAAACGGCCTGGCGCCACGCCATCAAGCGCGCGGGTCATAATGCCCTAAATCACTGGCGGCGTGTTGAGCGCGGGCGATTCGGTGAGAAGAACGGATGTTAATACTTGTCAGAGAGGTCGGGATTACCCCTAAACCTAGATTTCAGGACCAATCGCCCCATAGAAAAAAACTCGGTCAACAATCCGGCTTGGATGTTGACCGAGTTTTTCGAAAAATTGGGGTAGTAACAGTTGAACAGTGCCGATACTACATCATTTTTCTGCTAGACAAAAGCGCAATTCTACACCTTTTGCTCCTTCCAATCGATTAAAATGACATATAAACATTGAACCTGACTTTCATGACTTATAATCCGAGCTATGTCCAGTGATGTGTGTGTGAGTCGATGTTGTTGGGTCACGAAATCATAGCACTGAAGGAAGAGCATTGCGGTCGGATCGATTTGAGAGTGGGATGGAGTAGAGATGGGAAGAACCTAAGTAGCACTACGACCATGGTAAGCCCCGCCCACAGTGGTGCGGGGGGGGACGTCAAAAGTTTGGCGATGACACTGAAAAAAAAAATAAAGTCTATAACTAACGGTCCAGAGCAGATCCGAGATGGGGAACAGTGCAGTAGAGGGTTAAGAAGGGTCTGACCAAACCGAAACAGAGGTGACACACTACGAATGGGCGGGGTATTGAGAGGGGGCGGCGGCTTATCGTGTCAAACTGAAAAAACACCATTAACTGGGGCCTAACACAGCAGCTCAGAGACGCGGAAAAAGTGAATAACAGCCAGAGCAGTGGGTTGGCCAGAGCAAATGGAGGAGTACACACCCGAAAATGGGGCGCGGGCCCTACTCGAGATGGGCGGACGTCATCTCCACAAGAGTCAGGTATTCGGTACGAAATAGTTAAGAGGGATCGCAGAATGAAGTCCATGCAAAGTAAGAAGATTCTAGCAAGAGTCACGATGTTTACGGGTTGGTGAGGCCCGCCTAGCAGTAGAAGGCGTTTGTGCACGGGAACCAGTGTAAAGTCGTGGTTTGCGTCCAAAGGCACCGGCAGAGGTGCCAAAATGTGGATTAGGTGTACGCCAAGTGATCAAATGTAAGGATGTACGAGGCACTCCCGTTGTGGGCGGAGCCTGCACCGAGGTGGGCGGAGCCAACTTTGAAAAATTCGCAAAACGGGTCCAGAGCACTCCAGACACCGGGGAAAAGGTAGTGTGAGATCAGCGACGGGTTATTAGTTGAGAAGCGCCGGCATACGTTGTGGGGCGGAACGCGTGCGTTTGAGAGAAAATGGAGCCAGTATTATATGAACTTCCTCAAGCAGGTTACCAGAGCACACAGGCCTACACGACGCTCCTCATGTAGATACACGCCCGGCCTTCTTCGGGCGTGAGCTTCCGTCCACGGCCTACTGCATTCGGGTAGTCAAATGTGGACCAATAGCTCGCATTTCCCCTCAAATCTCTCCAACATAAAGCAAACGACTCCTTTCAACTTTTCATGCTCCGCGTAAATGTGTGGAAAGTAGACGTATGTGCTATTGAGTGACAATAATGTTGATTCAATCGTTCAGATGTGGAAAGAAAGCGGAGGACGAGTACGGTACTGAAAGTGTGTGAAAGAAGGTCAAGCGCGGCGGAAGCGCGCACTGCCACGGCGAAGCCGTGCTGTATCACAGAAAGAGCCGGCTAGTCTTGTAATAATAGCGAACGGGTTTTCTGCGAATTCACGGAACGATTCGCATCAGAATAGCTCGCTTACTCCCATGGATTACATTGAGACACCAATCACCATTTCAGGAGTGAGGAACGTAACATCCAGGTTAGTAAGATGGCATTGCAAGCGGTGCCACGACACTCACACCGGGATCTAGTTCGCCTGACGCGGAAATATTGCAGTATGTCGAGTCAACAGTCTAACTCTACCAGCTTGCGCCATGGGTACGATACCGTGGGTGTTACGTTGCATACCCCACTCCAGAAGCCAGTTAGAATGGAACCTATGGACTCCATTGTCCGAACGAGTCACTAATTCGGGTGAGGCTTTTGCTAAAATTAGAATTCTGCAGGGAAACGAACGCGATCTATGTTCAATGTAAGACGTTGCGCCAGAGCTGTGCTAATTGGACAGCATTCTATAGAACTAAACTTACGGCTATTTGTGTGGGTGTAATCTGCCAAAGTTTCACGGTGCAATCCCAACTACATGAGAGAAACTCTTCTGGTTTACTTGCAGACTGATCAAGACACCATATCCATCCCTGTAACCTTCTCCATAGAAAATGCGATACAACCACAACAATGAATTTTTTTCTAGTAGAAAAAGAACAACCTCATGCGCATTTTGCATATCGTAACACGGCTTAGTCGATGTTGACGTTTGTTGGGATTGCTAAAAAAACTAAATCACTGCCCAGTCTCTGTGGCAAATAAAGCCGGCAAAAAAGACCAAGAAGTGCACAAAAGAATATTATATCAGTTGAAAAGTACCTCTAATTCACTAATATTCCAAAGCTTAATAGCTCTATCACGTCCACCGGAAAGACAAAATCTATTTCCAGAACTTCGATGAGGAAATAATCGCAAGGCGTCTACTGTGGCAATGTGACCAGTGGCTGTGAAGCTGCAACCTAATTAAATTAGAAGTCGCAGGTCAAGCCACAATGAAAGCGCCCAATGAGATACCATCTGCTGGGTGACCATCTTCTCCACCGGAGCACTTCCTCCTCGATTGCTACAAAACTTCGAGCAGCATCAAAATCGTCCACCTTTGTCTCACAATCCGATAGACGGATCTGATGAGATGAGAGTTTCTGAATTAAAATGTTGATTTCAGAGCAAAAAAAACAGATACTGAATACTGCAACTTGAATAAACACTAGATAAAACGTTCAGCGTTGATTAGTCCGGAGACACTAAGCCGCACACTCGACTCCATTTGAAACTGTAATGGCCACTGAATGCGTATAGCCCGTTCACCTGCCGGGCCATTTGATTAAAAGTCACCGCTATTACCATCCCAAACGAAACTAGTATCAAAGTAACCACTCCAGAGGCAATGAAGACTAGGCTGCTCTGGTCCGAACTTGTTCGAAACACGCACTCAGCGAAGGCCGGATATGACAGGGCGCAGACAAGTAGCGCGTTTGGCCGTGCTTAGGGCTGTGGCTGTGCGGCTGCGCGAATGAAGGATAGAGACGGCATTCGGGTATCACCTCCCTCCACATCCTCTCACGTGAACATACGATGGGTGAAAGTGACAAGGAACTGCAGTTTCGGGTACTGATATTTGAGCCAGACTCTACCTTCTCCTTCTTCTAACCGGGTTCTTGCAATAGGCAGGTCCATTCACACTACATATTGCAAGGACCCGGTTACAAGGAGGAGAATGTAGAGTTTGGCCCAAATTTCAGTACTCTCAAATAAGAGGAAACCTAGGCTTTATCCAGAAAGGCTTGAAACTTGGGGCTAACTTGAGGCTTAGGTATCGAATGATATCTCGTCATGGCAAATTGTATCCTGAACCTGGAAAAGATCACACAGCAATGTGCTCATTTCATTTTCCCCAATGACGCCAGCTGATGGAAAACTGATCTGGCTGTGCTCCTGGCCATGCCCCTTCACAGCCCTAGCGTAGCAGGGGTCATGACTGTACATTCCACTAAATCACAATAAAAAGCGTCAGAGCACGTTCAGACTTCGCGATAGCGCGGTCGTCGAGCGATCCTACCGCGCGACCAAGGCGACCAAGGCGAGAGATTCATTCGAGCAATCCGACTGCGCGATCCAGTCGAGCGATTCGCGCGGTCCAGCCGAGCGATTCGTGCGATCGCGAAGTATGAACGCGCTCTTACCATGACCCACAATTCTCAAAACGCCAGTAAATTTAGGACCAGTGGGTTTATATAAATATGTCAAGATTTGTTTTCCTCTACAAAGAGGAAGAACCAAAAACCTAGGAAAAAATAACAGGAACCAACATGTATACGAGTGAGCCACCACTGTTGGTTAGTCAGCAGGCAATGAAATTTCCTACAGACCAAGCGTACATGACGAACCAAATGCCTTCCTCGTACGTAATCAAAAATCAACAAAAGCAGTTCAGAGGGAAGCTGCAAAAGCATTCCTTGCTCGTCATCTTCCTCTGTTTTCATTCACTGAAATACAAAATGTGGCACTAAGGCAGTACATAAGACAATCGACAACCGGAAACAGCAAAAATGACGTCAATGAACCAGGAAAATAGAAAACCATGGAAACAGGCACAATGTGGTCCATCGAATACAACATGCCTTCTCAATGCATATTTGATGCGAAAGAAGAGTCGTTCCTCGGGCATTCGTGCATTGTTCTCCTATGACAGTCTCGTCGTAATTTCGCGACCAATATCTGTTTCCATGGGATGACGAATTCATGGCGCCATGAATTTTCCATAATAAATACCATAGAAACGCTTGTTCCCCTTTTCCTTTCATGCAACTGCGACAGCAGGTTTGAACTACCTCGCAGCGGCATTCATGGTGTTGCAAATGCAAAATATGGTAAGCTTAG